GTGCCATGGGGTGCACAGTAGGTGTTATGGGGCTGTAGGAGATACACAGTGGGGTGCCATGGGACAGATCTGGAGCTGTTACGACAGGCAGACCCAGAGTGGGGTGTGTGGCAAACGCAGGCCCAGAGAGGGGATCCCTGACTGTCACGCTCAGATCCTGGGGCACCGAGTCTGGGTCTCAGCAGGTCACGGAGGGTGTTTGAATGGGGCGTGAAATCCCCACCCCCCCACCCCATGCAGAGGGAAGCACTAGGCCTAGGCAGCCCTGCTCCAGGAGGCCCAGCACAGAATCTCAGGAGCTGGGCCCAAAGCTGGGGCAACGTCCGTTTCCAAGCAATCTCGTATTCCCATGCCCGCTGGATTCCCCTCTCACCCGCAGGCACGACGCCGCTGATGCCAGCATGGTTACCAGGGTGCTGGCAGGGTCGAGCCCACCTTCCTGGTTGTGGCATCACGACCCCTTGGGATGGCACAAGCAGAGGATCCTAGTAGCGGGTGACAATCAAACCCAACCACGTTCCTGCCTCCAGTAAGATGAAACAGGCGGAGAACGGGACCAGCCCTTCCCAGCAGCCCAGTCCAAGACTCCAGGCAGCCGAGACAACGGGTTCGCCTGTGTTAGTGTCGTTTACACACTAAAGAGGGTGGGGAGAAGGGCAGGGCAGTTTAGATTCACCTTCCAACTTGGCTCGGAGAGGTGTAAACGGTCCCCATGAATTGCAGTGGGGGGTGTTGACTCTGAAGTGTAACGATGACATTTAAAATGTTCACTAGGTCATTGCTGGTTGTTGAAAAAGAAAAATCCAGCTTGTCTGGAATTGTGGGGCGGGGCTTTGGAGAGTGGGTGGGGCCTGGCTAGAGCATCACCCCCTTTTATACCCTTCCCACCCAACTGGGGAGCAAACCCAACACAGAAGTGGGTGGAGACACCATGTTTACACCCAGGGGGCCAGACCAGGGAAGATCAAAGACTCCACTTTGCCAGCGGCAGGAAGTGGCATATCCCAGCACAGCCTCCCCTGGGGCGCCCACCAGCCGGGCTCTGAGCCGTGTGGTCTGCTCCCCTGGGGCCCCCTGACTGTCGTGTTTCCCATCTCATGGCAAGCAGGCCGCACGCCGTTCCCCTACCGGACTCTACCCTTGGTGTTCCTCAGCACGGAGGCCGCGAAGCTCTGGGTCACGCCCACCAGGCTGGTACCGTCCACCTCCACGATGAGGTCATTCACCTGGATCCTACAGGAGGGAGAAGGCGAGTGAGAGACGGAAAGGGAGGGAGGGGCCTTTGGCAGAGGGTGCGGTGGGCTTGGGGGCAGTGTTCCAGATCAGTACAGGCCCACGAGCTGTCTGAGCTGATGGTGCCCTCCCAACCCCCCCAGATCTCTTGCCAACCTGGGTCAGCCTATTGGCCCATCCAGTCCCCTATCCTGGCACCTGCAATATGGGATCAAATCACTGGCCCGTCTAATTCACCGTTGTGTCTCCTGCCACACTGAAGCTGGCAATTCCCCGTGTAGTCTGGCACCCTGCCTCCCACAGTGCCCAATTACGGATGTTGCACCGGAAGGCATAAAATCAACCCCCCCATGCTGCCCTGTGGGGAGATTTCCTTCCTGATCCCTGCCCGTCTGGCGATCAGATGACGCCCTGAAGCATGAGGGCCAATTGCCCTTCCCAGATAGCGTAACGGCAGCTAAATCACCCCAGTGCTGTGCCATCTGCTTCCAACAAGGCCTCTGTCTCCTGGGGTTCGCCCCTCCTCCCCACACTGGAAAGGGTTAATCGGAGATTATGCTGCGTAGTGGAAAGAGGAAGGAACATGGCTCCCCGCGCTCAGGAAGCCGGGGATGGCCAGCACGGTCGGGGGAGGAAACTCCCGGTTGCTAGATTAAGTGGCACACACAGAGCAAGGCCGCAGAGAGGCTCTGAGATGGTGCCAGGACCGTACTGGGCCCCAAGCCTGCCCGGCAGCAGAGGGGGTGAACCTGCCATCAAGCTGTGCCCCCCATGCCCCAGCCATGCCAGCACCCTGGCCCTCTCCCACCGCCCCTGCCTCACGAGGGTACAGCATCCTTGTGTCCCCGCCGCCTCTACCGCCCGCCCACCCCTCCAGGGAGAAGCGGTATCTGGGAGCCCCAGACCCCATGGCCAAAGGGGGAGCTGAGGGGCGGGACGGCCCTGGGCTGGATCAGGCTGGTCTGGGAAGGATGTGTGGGGCAGGAGAGCCTGCTAGGATGGGTGGGGCCTCCCAGAACAGCCTCCTTGGGGGAAGCACATACTGTAAAGCCAGCCCCATCCCCCACCTCACCCCGGAGGCACTCACCCCACTTTCCCCCTTCTGCCCCCTCAGGACAGGCCCGCCTCTCCCTCCCTCGGGGAGCGGCGAGGGCCGTTATCCTGGGGGCCAGGCCCTGGGCCTTGCCACGGAGGTATCCCGGGCAGCTCCCGGCTGACAGACGGAGGATGGATGCGGTTGTCAGAGCCAGGCAGCCAAGCCGGGCACACGGTCCTCCCACTGCTGAGACCGAGAGAGTTGGGGTGTGGGGGGGGAGTGGGATGGCGACCCCACAGAGCTGTCACCGCACCCCTGCATGGGGCCAGGAGCTCACACTCCCTGCCAGCCACTTTGTCCTGGCGGCTGAATTAACGGTGTTCGGGGCCGTCCACTGTCTGTAGCCTGCTCTGGGCATGCACCCGCCAGTGCGCAAACACAATGGACACGCCCACACACAAACACCCACACACCCATACGCAAATGCACACGCACCCACGCACATCATACACCCCCTATGCACCCCCCAGTGCACAAACACACCCAGAAACACAACAGACATGCCCACACACAAATACCCACACATCCATACACAAATGTACACCCATCCATGCACATCATACACCCCCTATGCACCCCCCAGTAACAAACACACCCAGAAACACAACTGACACGCCTACATACATAAAACACACACCCATACACAAATACACACACTCCAATACCCATGTAGACAGCCCCCCCATGCAAACATGCCCATCCCTACACAAGCACTCCCACAGAAATACACACCCATGTGCAAACACCTCCACTTACAGTCGCACAAATACAGACTCAGCAACATAAACACACACACATATACCAAAAAATATACTCCAAAGCACACGCTGCGGCGCTGCGGGGAAGAGGGGCACGTCGGCCATGGCTCTCCTGCTTTTAAGCACCAGGTCACAGTACGACTCAGGTTTGGCTCGGCCCAATCATAGAATCGTAGGACTGGAAGGGACCTCGAGAGGTCATCTTGTCCCATCCCCTACACTCCTGGCCGGACTAAGTATTAGACCATGACAGAGCCAAGCTGAAGTTGAGTGAGTGGCGTGGTGACCTGGCCCTTGAAATGGCAGTCCACAGCTCCTGCCTAAAGGGGTACAAATGTATATTCATACAGCTCCCCTAACACACATACACACCAACACACAACATAACACGTACAGACAGCCCCCACTGGGCTAATCTGATCCGGCCACCGAGACTGACGTTTGTGTCTCGACGGTTCCCCTTTGCTCTGCAGAACCTTTCATTGTGAAACTCGCTGTGATTTCCCAATGCCTGCAGGTGTGATACACAAAGGGCCTGATTCTGTCTCTGGGCTGGATCCTTTGTGGTCCCCGTGATTCGTTCCACCATGGACCCCCGTGCGAAGCGAGAGCTGGTCTACCTGCAACCACGCTGGTTTTGCACCAGTTTGGTCAAAACTGGTCCAGCTTTCTGTGGTTGTGATTGTGTTTCTGAGTATGTGCGTGTGTGTGAGCGTAAGTGGATGTGTTGGAGCATGAGCCTGTCTTTTCTCTGTGTGTGTGTGTGTGTGTGTGTGTGTGTGTGTGTGCGGGTGGCTGTGTTTGCACTGGGGGTTTGCATGGGTTTCTTAGTGTATTTGTACATGGTTCAATGTGTTTACTTGCAAATGGGGTGAGTGTATATTGTGTGTTTATGTGTGTGTGTGTGTGTGTGTGTTGTCTACTGGTGTGTGATTGAGTTGCCATCACTTTATAGCTGGCCTATGTAGGTTTAGCTTTACCGGTGCAAACCGACCCGTTCTAAACCCAGTTTAAATCCATGTCAGTGTCCCCACACACAGTAGCACTGGTAATTTGGCGAGGCAACCAGAGATCAGAACATACCCACTTTGCACGGGTGTCAGTGGCAGGGGAACGGAAAATCCACCCGAGACCCTCCTGCATTTGCTTGTTTGGGCTGCGCTAGAGTAGGCTGGGAAAAGATTGTCTGATTGAGCTCTCCCTAGAGACTCTTCTGGGAGGGAGTTATGTGTATTGTGAAGCCCTCCAAGTCAGCACCATTGAAATGAACACGGAAATACGTTACAGATGCAAACAGCACACACCCCGACACGTGCCCTGCAACTCACCATGAGCACATGGAGAACATGGTACACAGCAGCCGCAGCACACACTAACACAGAGACCTACAGACGACAGTGCCGAGTCTTGCAGGAGTTAGTTCTCTTTCTGAAAGCCCCAGCGCCTGGAGTCAGGTGATTGTGTTTGAATCTCATTTTTAACAACAAAGTGAATTTCTAGCTCCTCCGGTTGCAGCGAAGAGCTTGAAAATGCTACTCCCGCCCCCTAAGCCTCAAAACAAGGAGGCCAATAAGAAGCCCAATATAAGAAGTTTTTTATTTTTTAAAAATCTCATGACTTTAAAGACAATTTCATGATTTTTGGAGCCCTGATGGTGATTTTGGAATGCTTGGGGGTTGGCAATTCTGCATCTACAACCACACAACTAGCATAGATATACACAGAACAACATGCACAACAGGGATACACACAGGCTTGTCTATCATGCCGATGGTACGCAACTCAGACTGCAGGCACAAGCAGCCAAGGTACAGTGAATAATTAACACAACAGGGCTTTGTTAGCAACTCATTTGCAACTCACAAGCTGCACATACACAACTACTGTCACACACACACACACTAACACAACTAGCACACAATGCAAAAAGCAGCATGTGTACACACACTACAAAGCTAAATAAAGAGCAACGCAAAGCCGATAGATACAACAATAGCCAGCCCACCCCTTCACACACACACACACACACACACACCAGCAGACTGGTGTGCAATATACACAAGCTCCCAACCACACCCTTAGGATCAGTTACAAAATACTCAAAGTACTGTCTGCAGCCAAAATTTCAATAATTCCAAAAGGGAGAGCCTGGGAC